ACTCGCCACCTTTGTAACAAGACTGAGAAAAAGAATCTGTTCCTTTCATCGAGCTGCAATAAATGTGTCAACTTTTGGAAAGTGAGACAAAAGTGTTGCGCCAAAACGAGCTCTTTTGCAGATTTTTCCCACCCACTCTCATCCAAACTTGTGCATGTTGGTGTGAAACAGGTGGGCCACAGACGTGGTCTCTACCTGGATTTGGTCACAGCTCTTCTTCCACTATTGTTTCAGTCAATCAGCACACACACACACACACACACACACACACACACACACACACACACACACACACACACACACACACACACACACACACACACACACACACACACACACACACACACCTCCCTGCAATCCCTATAATATTCATGTCAGGCCTCATCCTCTCTGACGTGTGTGTGTGTGTGTGTGTGCGTCCTTTACGGCCATCAGGTTATTATACACCGACAGATGGAGCATTACCTTTTATTGCTCACACCTTCTGTGAGTTTTCCCACTGTTCTCTCCTCCCCCCCTCCCCAAAAAACACCTTTTTTTACGTAGATGTGAAAGTGAGCGTCGGGCAGCTGTCTGTGCTGTGACGAGGAGCGTGATGGAGAGGAAGAGGCGAGGGTGGGGTGAAAGGGCTGAGACAGCCCTCGGTTTTTGGGAAGTGATGTCAAATGACATCAGCACGTAATGGTTTACTGTAACCATGAATCACAGAGAGACACACTGAAGTGTTAGACGGAGGGGGAACAGAGAAAGTTGCTACATGGAGTAAAATCTCAAAAATAGCCCTGCGGTGAACGAGGACACAGTCATCTAGGTAGAGAGCTGGATGAGTCACTCAGCCAAGGTTTTGTGTTGATCTGCAGCACCTTTAGTCGTTGGTTTTCTGTTGTTGAGGCCACATTTAATTATGGAAACTATCAACTGTTTGCTTTGTTGTTCATGTTTTAAAGGTGCATGGTGTGCTGCTTCATGAGCTCACTTAATTTGTGTTGAAGCCATGAAGCGAGTTCTGAAGAGGTGGACAGGCAGGAAGTCTCGGCATGCATTCTTTCCCAGCTGCAGACGTCTGTCAGTCCTCAGCTCAACGCTTGTGTGCATGTTTATTTATCTGTGTGTGTGTGTGTGTGTGTGTGTGTGTGTGTGTGTGTGTTCAGGGCAGGAAATTTGGGCAAGAACTTTCTGACCCTAAAAAATTTGTCATCTCTTTACAGTATCCAAGTTGACTGTTTACAACTCTAGACTGTCCTTTAGTTTGCTTTAAATGTGAGGTTCACAAAAAACAAAAACAAAAAAATACACTTTTTAATGAGTATTTCTAATTATAATCAGTCACTCTGAGTTTAACATGCAGGCTGAACTTGAAAAAAGGCCTCCTACACCGATCTGCTGCATTAGCTTCTGATAGAAAGTAGATGTTGAATTTCTAGGATTAGAAAAGCCTGACAGATCTACATCACACTGTCACTTAACATTCATGGACTCACTCATCTTGATCAGCTCAGTAGTCTAGTGGTTGAATGTCTGCCCTGGGACTGGGAAATCAGAGTACAAATTCAGGTTGGGTCATACCAAAGACTTTATAAAAATGGGACCCAATGCCTTGATACTCAACTTTAAGGGGTTGGATTAAACCACCCAGTAGTTCCCGAGCGCAACCGTGTCTGCAGCTTATCGCTCACGAGGATGAGTAAAATGCGGGGGACAATTTTTACCACACCACACTAGTGTGTGTGACAACTACGGGATTTAAATCTTTAATCCTTACTCACGTCAGGGAAGGCTGTTGTTGGTTTCAACACATTCTCACACCCTAAGAGTCGAAAAATGACGCGGTGTGACCAAACTCTTGTTTCCGACGTGTTGGGCGTCCCTGTGCACCGGGAGGCGGCACGCTGTGCCAGAGCGTCGGTATCTGACACCCGCAGTAAAATGGACATTTGACCAAATTGTGACCATTACCCTCTTGCTATTTAACCTTCCCCTCACCCCCATCCTAACCTTAACCAGCTTGTGCATGCAAAGCTTTGTTTCGCGTTTCATCGTTCCTCTCAAACACGCTTAATGGAAAATTTAGATTGAAATACTGGATTAAAGTTAGAATGGGGATGAGGGGAAGGTTAAATCATTAGAGGTGAGAGGTAAAATGTGGGTGAAATCTCCGTTTGACCGCGGGCGTCAGATACCGACGCTCTGGCACAGCACGTCGCCTCCCGGCGCGCAGGGGCGCCCAACTCTTCGGAAACAAACGCTTGGTCACACCGCATAATTTTTCGATGCTTAGGGTGTGAGAATGTGTTGTTTGTTTAGTGTCCAGGAAACAGAAAAGGATGTCTTGGCTAGTAGAGCTAACCATTAGCAACTCCACCACACAGCAGAACTCCATCAGGCTTGCGTTATCGGTGGAGATAAAACATCAACATTGCAGAGCAAAGTCAGTGGTAGAGTCGCGTTGCTGTTATCCAAGCTGAGGTGAGTTGTCCAACATATCAGGAAATAAAGGGCCATTCCCATCTGTACCGGGTCGGCCCAGGCCGGGTAGCCCCAGTCGGCCCCAGCCTGGCCCGGTTGATTCCACACATCCTTGCCTTAACCCTTTGATGCATAATGGTCACTACAGTGGACAGGTACTCAAAATTGTTATTTATTTATTTTTGCTATTAAGCACAGCTGTTGAAGACTTTATTGCATGTGAGCCCCTCCGTTTGGACTTCAGTAAGTCAAGCCACCATATTTCATGTTCAGAATGCACGCTGTCCACTGAGATGGACATGTAATAAAGTATTTGTAAATTAACAAAATTGTGCAAAAAATATTTGTTGAAATTGTTTTCATTCACACCTAAAGATGAATGAAAAAAATTGTTTAAAAAATCATGGTTGAAGATTTCATAATTCATGCATCAGAGGGTTAAGCCCATGTGGGCTGATTCTACCCACCAATCAGAGGCTTGCTCTAATGGAAGGTGTGAATTTGCTGTCAGCAGTGGGCGTGTTGGCCCTGGTCGGCCTGAAGCAGTACCCCTCGGGAAGAGGGCCGAGAATGAGCCTTGGTTGGCCCGGGAAAATTCCAGGCCACCCAGATATGTAAACAACCTACGCTATCCGGCCCGGGCCGACCCGGTACAGGTGGGAATGGGGCTTTTGTTGGCCCGGAGAAATACCAGGCCACCCAGATATGTAAACAACCTACGCTACCCTGCCCGGGCCGACCCGGTACAGATGGGAATGGCCCATAATGGGCCATTCCCATCTGTACCGGGTCGGCCCGGGCAGGGTAGCGTAGGTTGTTTACACATCTGGGTGGCCTGGTATTTTTCCGGGCCAACCAAGGCTCATTCTCGGCCCTCTTCTCGAGGGGGTCTGCTTCAGGCCGACCAGGGCCAACACACCCACTGCTGACAGCAAATTCACACCTTCCATTAGAGCAAGCCTCTGATTGGTGGGTAGAATCAGCCCACATGGGCTTAAGACAAGGATGTGTGGAATCAACCGGGCCAGGCTGGGGCCGACTGGGGCTACCCGGCCCGGGCCGACCCGGTACAGATGGGAATGGCCCATAAGACTCCAAAACCTGCCGTCTGAAGCTACTTTCGCCATTTGAGCTCCTCCTCCCATGTACCGATCAATATAACCAACAGAACCTATGTAAAATCTTATCTATCACTTTTCAAATCTGAATTTTTTGAAGTATTTTTTAAAATCTCAGAGGTTTTAGGATTTGAAACCCATTAACAAGCTTTTACTTAAAGACACGTTTAACTAATGAACTCTCAGAAGTGGAACACTTATCAGTCATGTAAAAACCAACCAATCAACCAATCATAATATTTATAATAGGGCGATGGTCGCTCAGGGGTTAGAAGTTTGCCCGGTAAATGATGGGTTGTGGGTTCGAACCCAGGCTCCCGCAGTCATCCTTGGGCAAGACACTTCACCCTTCTCGCCTCCTTGCGGTGTTCTTCGGGAGCTGTGGCACCTGTCAGTGCGCTCCAGGGAGGCTGTGGCTGCACTGTAGTTCATCACTATCAGTGTGTGAATGATTCACTGTAGTGTAAAGCACTTTGGGGTCATCAGACTCAGAAAGGCGCTACAAGTGTGGGTCATTTATCATTTATTTATTAAAACGACACTCAGCCAGCCCAACACCCCCCGTGCCCTTTTCTCTCTTCCTTTATATTTTAGTCATAAATGACGAGGTTGTCTCCGTTTAAATGTACTCCTCATGTTTACAACAAGGGTTATTTCAGTCTCTCATTTGGCTTCATTTGAGATCAGTAACAGTTTGTGAAAGATGCGTGTGCCCTGACAGCTCACACCAAAGTCATTCAGAACGTTTTCCTTCAGTCCTTCATGACAGGTTACCGCAAACATCTGGTCCTGATCAGTCTTTCATAGCTGACTCAGGTTGTTAAAACAGCGGATACAAAACACTGAAGCAACGTACCAGCAGTCACGCTTTACATCCTGGATCGGATTTCATGTTGTCAGAAACCAACTGTAAGAACTGAGTTATAACGGTTGCAAAGGTGAAGCGTTAGCTCTATTTGTTTTGAAAATGACAAAGCGACTGATGGTGCATTCAGGAGCAAATGGGAATTTGGAATTTCTGTCTTACAAATAAATAAAAAGTCCCAAAAACTCAATATTAAGTAATGTCCCTCAGTTGGGATGCAGAACATTAATCACAGTACTAGTGAAACTAACACACACACACACACACACACACACACACACACACACACACACACACACACACACACACACACACACACACACACACACACACACACACACACACACACACACACACACACACACACACACACACACACACACACACACACACACACACACACACACACACACACACATGAATAGAATATTTCTTTTTACAATATGTGGAGCCATATGTGGAGCTTCAGATGCCCAAACGGGAGATTTTTCTGTAAAACATTTCTGTAACACTGATTTTCTTTCCCCCCCGTTTCTTCTCTTGTGTTCCAGCTCGGAAGCCATTCCAGTGCAGGTACTGTCCATATAGTGCCTCTCAGAAAGGAAACCTGAAAACCCACGTCCTGTGCGTGCACCGCAAGCCCTTCGACAACAGCCTCTACCCTGACCGCCGTCTCCGACGCTCACACACGCCCCAGGCGCCCTCCAGGTTGTCTGTGAGTGCCACGGGAGACAACCGTGCGTCAGGGAGAGACCACATCAGTGTGACATCGCTGTGTGGGACTTGATGTTGTCATAGCAACCGCAGATACAGACAGTTATGAATATTGTTTTAGCCTCACCTTGAAAAGGTTAGGATGATCGAGACTGTTAAAGAAAAAAAAATGTTACCAACCTTGATGTACATTCCAGTGTTTACTTGAAAAGCCACAGTACGTATTTATCTGTAGCAAGAAAACTGACAAAAAAACAACAAAAACACAACTGCTGCCTATGATAATAAAGTCCATTGTGATGTGAACGTGTAGCAAAGGTGTCGTGTGTGGTTTGTTTGTTCCAGAGTGTCCCAACAATGCCCTTGTGTTTACACGCATCTATCTGTCCTATGATAGGAAGACTGTATCGTGTTTGCCCAAAGCACTTGTTCTTTCATCCAGTAAATACTCTGTGTTGCATTTCTGTAAATATCCCTCCATTTCCCTTCCAGTTCAGAAGTCTTGTCTATCTGTCAGGATGTGGTGCCAGATGTTCGGCCTTTAATCGCAGCAGATGTAATGAAGTAGAATGTTGCACATCGGAGCTTCCATTTGTTCTGGATTTCACTCCGGGGAGAAAGCCTCTCTCACATATAATTATTGCCCATTAACTCTTATGCTTCATGGCCTCATGCTGGAACAATGCTCAATTAAGGGGAACCACAGAAACAAAAAAAAAAAAAAGATAAACTGCAGAAATTCAGTGATAGTACTTTCAAACGCCTTATTTTTCCCCAGGTTTAATTTTTGAACGGGGAACCGCCCATGTGTGTCTACCACTAATCTGCTCACTAGTAGAGCGCAGGCCTAATCAGCACGGTGATTGTAAGCCGCTGCTGCCATGTATGGTAATTTTAGCTCGATCCGAGCTGCCTCAGCCTCCTGTGCCAATATCCTGCCAGTACACCCAAAGATCACCTTGGGCAGCTGTGTGCCTGCTCAGCCAGGCCCTTGTAGCCACGGCGATGTGACTTTGACTGACAGTCCGCCTGACAACTCCATTCATGCGCCACCTGCTAGCTGTCAATCACGGCGGCCATCCTGGGGCTATTGACGGAGCTGTCAGCCTGTGTGAGATGTGTCTGTCAAAGCCCACCCACTCTGCCACTCCGTCTCCCTGCCTGGGCTGCCTGACATTCGTTTACCGTCCTCCTTCCACCTTTCTCTTCCTCCCATCTCCGTCTCTTTTTTCCTCTCTGATTCTGTCCGTCTTCTGCCTGCTTCCCATCAGGGATACGACAGCCCCTTAATCCCCGATCCAATCACAGATTCTTTGGATACACATTTGTCATCCTCAAACCCTCTGGTTTTTGTAAGGGATTGGCTCACAAACACTTCTGCAGGTGATTCAGACAAAATATACGCGTTGTTGTTATGGCTGTGACTTGTTTTTGCATCTACCCAGTCATCCTGAATGCCACCATTCTTCCTTCCTTCCCCTTAAGTTTTTATTTTTACTTTTTTTTTTTTACCGCCACCCTCCTGTGCTCATTCACCCTTCATCTCTCCACCCGACAGTTGACAAGGTCTGAGCCTCCGGTTGACTGGAAAATCAGAGGCCTGTCATACCTGTCAATACTGTTTCAGAGCCGTGCCAAACCAGATCGGGCCAGGCCAGTCGATCTTTAGAGTTGACCGAGGGCATGAAGTTTTGTGGCGAGATGAAGAAAAACTGTTTTCTCAAAATTCTGCACCTTCTGCCCCTCCAACAGCCCTCTGGATATGGATCATCCCCAAAGCCTCATCCTGTCAAACCTCCTAATTAAGCTCAGTTTCCCTTAAAGCAAGGCCACTTAATTAATGCAGAGGAAGTTTGTTAATTACTCTTAATGGTGATGAATGCTTTATTTAACGTCTCACTGCCACTGTCAATGTCACACTCAGGCGTTTGGTGCTTTGGAAAGGACTCATCTCTCTGGGGCACAGACTTGTTTTAATTGTAACTAGAACCTTTTTACTCAATTAAACTCAAAGGTTTATTATGCTAGCGACTTTTTTTTAATGGCGTTCTGCAATTTACAGAGCTCTGTCACGACTGAGTATAAAACTAAAGGTGTTTATTTTTTCTCATTGCATCCATCTAAGCTTAGTCTCACCTTGACCTTTTTCTGACCGACATCTCATTTTCCTGCACTGGATCAATTTCCATTCCATGAAACTTATAAGTGACATATAAATACTTTAAAATAACCTCTAAAAATATTTAGCATGAGTTTCATCAGGTACACAAAATTCTGGTGACAAACAATTACTCTGAAACATGCTAAATCTTATTATCCTGGTGAAAGCAGTCATCCAAGACACCAGCTCTTGTTGTTTGAGTTCATCATTTCTATTCTTTTATAATACCTCACAGGATGTAACACTTGGGTTTCATGTAGCAAGCAACACAGCTAAACATGTGGGTGGCAAAAAATATGGGTCTCCAATATGTGACCAGGTGTGTGTCAGTCGCAGGTGTATGACTGGCACCTGATTGGACAGTTCAGAAATGCTGTGTGTGCAGGAGTGACAAACACCACCACACTGGTAGACCTTAACTCATTCACTGCCAGCCGTTTCCTGATCAGAAAAGCCCTTCGCTGCCGACGTTTTTCAGCGTTTTCACTGTTTTTTGAAGAGTCACAGAACGTTGCGCTCTAGGATTATGTCAACGCCAAAACTACCAAAACAAAGGGTAGACTCACCTCTTGCATCAGGAAAAATCTACATGTTTCTAGCAGCATCCATTCTTTCATAATCCGTTGTTGAAATATGATAAGTTGTCTGGTTTGCGCCTCACTTTTTTTTTTACAGCAGCAGCCCGAAACGGTCTCCTAACATGGATTTTCTGCTTCCTGATCACGTGGCGTGTGACGTACGCGGATGAAGATCGGCTTTAGAGCTGGGATGACACTTGTCACGGTGCGGGGGCTCGATCCGACGCCCACACAATAAAAAAATGCAAAAGACGACTTTAGTCATCAATGTCAGTGTTAAGTTCCACTCTCGTTTATACTCCAAGGGGACACTTTGGGACAACTCCTTCACTTTCCAACAATCTTTATTATTCCAGTTTAGTGATTATCATGTTGATAACCTTCAAAGAACAGGGACAAGTGTTAAACATCACAATTTATATAAAATACAATAAAGAAAGAACTTTCTAAACTACATCTTCCTACACTAAAAGTGTAAATGAATAAATTAAAACATGACTGAATCACAAAAATTCAATCAATAAATCAAGGTTTCAATCATTTAAAAAAGGAAAACGAAAGCATCAAGTGTAACAATGACCAATCAAATGTCTACATGCTTGAAAACATCTGTATTCAATCCAACTTATAAGCAACATGACTTTAGTGGTCAACCTAAACAACTTCATATCATAAACAAAATTATATTCTCCAACCATTGGCGTCTTTAGAGTCAACTCACTAGTAGAGCTTGCTTGCTTGTTGTACCTTGTTTGACTGAGAACAGAACCCCCACCATCTTTGCCCAGGTGTTTTCATCACCAATCGGTGGCCATTTTGCTGGTGCTTTCTGGGGCATGTAGTTCTCAGAGGCGGTTGAGCACTATCACCTCCAATTGTTCAGTTTTAACTCAACACCTCCCACTTGAGCTCATGGTTTCTCAAACCCAATGAGGTCACACAAGTACTTCGCTCTTTCTGTTCTTCAATGGAAACTAAAATGACAAGGCGCCTGACATCTCTATGAAGGATTGTGGCTGGAATTTTGTCGTTATGTTTATGTTTATTGGATCCTGAAGCCGGCACCTTTCCAGCTATCTTTCTGATAGAAACAGGATAACTGGGAAAGGTCCTTACAAGCACATCTCTGACAATGCCTTTGTTGTCAGTGTTGATGCTGTCAACTCGCATAGCCTGTACTGTCCTCTTAGGGCGTTTTGGTCAGCTACCCAGACCACATCTCCAACAGCAACATTCCGCTCTTTAGTGTGCCATTTATTCCGTACAAACAGGTTTGGTCCAGCCAACTGGCTCCACTTTTTCCAGAATTTGCTGACCTCTGTTTGAATACTTTTAAGCCTTTTATATGGATAGCCATCAAACTGGAAGTCTCCAGGGTCTCCCTTTGGGCTTGCACGCCCTAGAAGCAGTGACTTTGGGGTGATGTACTCCACACACTCTTCACTGCTTTGGGTTTTGGCATCAATAGGTCTTTGGTTAACAAGGTTGGCTACCATGAAGAGAAAAGTCTGAAATTCCCCCCAGGTGAAGACACCATCTCCACCAAGATTTCTTAGGGCCTGCTTCACGATTCTGACAGCTGCCTCTGCTGCACCATTTCTATGGGGAGAATCTGCAGGGTGGATCTTCCAAACCCATTCTGTTCCATGCTTGGCAGATAGGTCTTCAACTGCAGATTTGTTTAGTTGGTCAAGGAATTTGTACAGCGTTTCCAGAGCAGGTTTGGCTCCTACAAAGTTGGTGCCAGGGTCTGACCAGAGTTTCCTGGGGCACCCTCTCAGTGAAGTGAACCTTTGGTAGGCCAACAGGAAACCCTCGGATGACTGATCACTTATCACATCTGCGTGTATGGCACGGGAAGCCATGCCACAGAAGACAATTACCCATACCTTAAGTTTGGTTCTTTTCTTGACTTCATCCTTTACTTCGCATGGGCCGAACAGGTCTAAGGTGGTGAATTTGAAAGGAGCAGCTGGGATTGTTCGCTCTGGAGACCAATTTGCCATTATTTGCTGACACAGCCTTGCTCTGTTCTTCCTGCAGGTCACACAACTGTCAACCATTTTCTTGGCTAATCTCCTGCCTTTCATTACCCATGCTGTCTTCCTCATCCGGAGAAGAGTTCCTGCCACTCCTTCATGGTTAGCTTCATGGGACTCTCGGGCTAGCAGAGTAGACACCCATGATTCAAATGGCAGGACTGGTATGGCACTCTTCTCTTCATTGAACGTCTGGAATCTACCTCCACAAAGTATGAGTCCAGTGTTCACGTCTTTGTATACTGCCAATCTACTGAGAGTCATGTCTGTAAAAGTTACATCAACCTGAGCTGCAAGAAAGAGGTCATCACATCCTCTCTCAAGGTCTTTGCTGGTTAACCCAGCCTGCGCGGATGTTGTTGCCTCCCATTTTTGCAGTTTTGGGTTTGAATTCCTCTTTAGCCACTGCTCGGCAGCTCGACGAGTCCAGGCAACAACTCTCTTCAGTTTGGTTAGGCTACTGAATCGTGTTACATCAACGAGCTGTGTAACCCAGCCAGTGGTCCATCTTCTTGGCAGCATAGGCGTCAT